AAAGATAACTCTGCATAATGGTATTGTTTACTAAGATGCAATTGATCACATTGATAAGCTAAATCTAAATTTTAGTTTTGAGAACAATTTTGGATGATTCCTGATAATTACTTGTCTAAACACTATAATAAAATTGTTCTGGTTCTGTGGAGGTTTTTCTATGGTCTCTGAACTGCATCAGCATGATTCTAGCTTGAAGTGGAATGCATTGGGCTAATGAAATAAGAACTGTTGATATTTTAAATAGATGACAAAGTCTGAGAATGCAGTTCCCAATTACTTACAACTTCCCAGGTGCTGTGAAATTCCTCAGCCCTTACTCTGCTTGAGATCATTTGCTCTGCAGTTGTGCCGATTTAGTGGGGTTGTTCATTGAACAGAAACAACAAAGTCATCTTGGTTTTAAAAAGAGAAAAGCAAAATACCTCCCAAGAGTTAAACCAGGATAATGGGGGGTGGGGGGCACAAACTTCATAAAGAGCCTTTGCTGCTAGAGAAAATGTAGCAGAAAACCATAACCTCTATGAATATACTGTTGTCGCACCATCTGCTTTTTAGAACTGAAGTCAACAGAGAAAGAAGAAATGTAGGTGATCCTTCATCTGTTTTTTGACATACATAGAAACGTAGATGTTCGTTCTTTTTGAAGGAAGTAATGGACAAACGATTCTGTGAGGTAGTGGGTAGGATTGTGTAAGTTTATATATTGCATATATACGATATGAGGTGAATTTTCGTTTTCTTTTTTTTACAATTTATTTTGTAAAAATCAAATAAAAAGGCTTTTTATTCTGCAATGACTTTGTCCTCTGTAGGGTTAGTCTTACACAGCTGTCTCTTACTGGGCTTTCTTAGGACTCCTGTTGGCTCTGATAAATTTTCCTTTGACCTGAGCTATTAAGCAGCATAATATTTGTTATAGTTGCTTGCGGGCCTTTGACTTAAACTCAACATCTGGTAAAGACTTGATCAAGTTTGCATTCCCTTCTGTCTGTAACTGGGTACCCAAATACCACTCTTGGGCATTGAAGGAGAAATGATAATGTGAAATTAGTTAGGTATAAAATGTAACAGAGTGATTATATTTTGGTTGAACACCAAGGCTTATGTCCTTTCTGAATGAAGTGTATACTTTATCCTTTTTGTGATTGTCTGCTATGAGTTCTTTATCTATGAGTTCTTTGACAGATAGGAATAAAGGCACTGCTTTTTGGTGTCAGTAAGAGTGCTGAACCAGGGCTCCTGCCAATATCTATCTGGTGTTGCTGTTAACAGTTACCTTTCAAGTCCTGCAACTCGAATCTGTATAAAAATCTTTCAGGAGCAGAGTGAGAAGTGTTGTAAGTTTGCAGGCTTGCTTATATTTATTTCAATTAAGTTAGTATGTTGTAGCTGTCTATAACAAAATTGCATCGCATCCCCTACTTAGAAAAAAATTCCTTTTAAATCATGCTTAGCAGACTAAAAAAAAAAAAAAAACAAAAAACAAACAAAAAAAAACACCACCACCCACAAAAACCACTACTGAATCCTTAAACTCCTTTATCCTTGCTGACATCTTAATAGCAACTGAATCTGAAAGTCCTCCATCCAAGAACAATAATGCAATTGTGCACGCACCTAAGAATGGCTCTATTGGGGCAGGCCGAGGTCCATCTTGCCCAGAATCCTACTCCACAAGTGCCCATAAAAGCAATGCCCGGGCAAGTATGAGAACAAGATAAATGTATGACACTTCCTCACCTAATACTCTTCCAACTTCTAACTGTTTTCAATTTAGAGCACTTCCAGAGCCATCTGTGAGCTTGTCCATATAAATAAACTTCTGTCATCTGTGTTGTTTAGTAGAGGAGTTCTACAGGTTTTTCCTACCACGTTAAGAACCACCACTTTTGTTCTTTCCAGCTTCACATGTTTACTCCCAATTCTTACATGAGGCAAGCTGGTGGACAGCCTGCCTCCATCCGGCATTTCAATACAGCTCATAATTCAGTAGACTTCTAGCAGCATTCAGTGCGCACACATTAAATCTAGAAGAGAGACAGTAGCTTAAACGGTTATTCGTCTTACCTTTCATCATCAGTTTTGCCTGTGTAGGGGCCTTTTCTAGGCTTGTTGTATCCTTCAGAGGAGGGGGACAGAATGCTACATGGTACTTTGAAGACAGGTGAACCACAGTATATATGTTGTGATAACGTCTTGTTTTGTGCTCTATTCTAGTTGTAATGCCCTGCCTAATGTTAGGCACAAACATCTCAAAGAAAAATAATGCAGCCCATGTTAGCCAAATGGCCAACTGCACTCTTACTTGCAGGCTTAAAGCTACCCCCTGTGTAATTGATAGCAATTACACAGGTGAGTAAGTTGTTCCTGCAGAGGAAAAAAAAAAGAATTGCCACTTTCTCTAAATTTAATGGCTGCAGCTGCAGCACATTAAATTGATTTCAACCAGCTTTTTTTCTTCAAGCAATTCTGCTCTAATTTGTTTGTATTTCCACAGCAACAGCTAGATGTGTTTAAATGGTGGCTGCTTCCTCCACTTAGCCTTTTGTCATTCTTTTGCAAGAAAATGGCATTATGTGTTGCCTTTTGTTTGATTTTTGCTGTGCTTCTGCAATTAGCCTTCACTTGTGAGACTTTTCGTAAGACTAGTAAGTCTGCTCTTGAATTAACTATTACAGCATGCTAAAATGAATAAGCACATCAGCATGATACACAACTAAAAAGTAGTAAAGTGTTACCAAAAGAGAACTACAAAGCATTACCTGGAATACCAAATGTGTAAGAATACTTTATTGGATAGGGGGGTTGAAAGTACAGGCTTATAGCATTTCTAGGAAGCCTTTTATAACTAATAAAATAATTTAGAATATAAATAAAATTTATGTGTATCAGAGAGTAGTTTCAACATACATAACATTAGATCACATGACATGAAAGGTACACGAATGCATGCTGCCAACTTCACTGTGTGCTAATCTTCTCAAGTGTATTTATCTTTCATCCTTTTGGAAAGTTCACGATCTGTCGATATGCGTGTGGTGGATAAAAGCTATGTCTTGGTCCTTCTCTGCTGTAGTGGATGAGCTATGCTAGTGATGAGAACAACCTGAAGAGAGTATGTAACACAATTTCTCACCTTTGAGTTATTAAATTGAAGTTTTCTTCTAAATTAAGGGTTTATAGCAATGCATTCATCCATAAAACTGTATTATTTTAAATCCAGGAGCCTGATTTCCATAACTGAATATGCCTATGGTCACTGTAATAGGTATCAGAGATAATATAATGTACACTAGAGAGAGCACTTAACTTATACATACTGCTTCTAAGTGGTCTTGAACATTAAACTCCTTTTGCTTTCTGTGGGCCTATTATCTCGACATTTTCTAAATCATCATCACTGTTTTATGGAAAAATAAAATGTATCTGGCCATTACTACTTATGTGTACTCACTTAATATCAGTCCTGGGAAAACAGTCAAAAATACATATATGGTAATGGGCTATTCTAATAACAATGAGCAGGGCTGATGAGATGGCTGGATAATCTATCCCTGGTGAGTACTACAGTCATTAATTCAGTTTCTTGGTGCCTGGCTTTCTGTTAGGTGGAGCTCTGGCACTGGTGGTTTTTTTTCCCCCCGATTATCTCTCTAGGCTAGAGGATGACAAATAAGGGATTATTTTCAATTAGTGGCCTGTAAGAGAATAGGAATGTGCAGTGCAATAAATGCTTTGTGTGGATACTTATTGCAGAGCACAAGGGCCTTCTTTTTCTAGCTTAACACACTATCTCTGGTGTAAGTATGCCCACACATGGATTTAATCAGAAAAAAAATACAATGCAGAGAAAGCCCAACGTAATAAAACCCCTGATAATGCTCTATTTTTTTTCCCCTCGGGTCACAAATTGTATCCCAATTTTTATAGCTAAGCCTATGCAAATCAAACTTTAAGGCATATAATAAATTAGCAAGAATTACCTTCGATAACAAGCATACAAGAAGTTACTTCTACTTGGCACACATTTAAGGCAGTCAAATGGCCCGCCGAGACAGAGCACACAGTAGGAACAGTGCTGACACCTCCGTATGGATAAGCTTACTTTACCACAAATAATGACAGCAATTATGGCACATTTTTAATGGCTTTGTCCTGAACTTACACAAGGAATTTACCTGAAATTATTCACTCAGAACTGTACAGCTGGTGTGAGCAGGTAGCTGAGTTCGAGCCATTCTTTGGAAAGGCAGGTCTTCAGCTAGTATTCCTCTACCCGGCTCTCGGATCTAGCGGCAGTCCCACAAGATCCTATGGGTATATCCCATCCTTGTCCATAACTAGATATTCAGCAGTTTAAAGTCGCTTATTCACCTTGTCTTCTTTGAAGTTCTCATTTCTCACTGATGTGCTGTGTTCACCTCTGGAGACAGGACCCTGCTGTGCTCCTAATGGCTTACCATCTCGCAAAGGTTAGCACAGTTTGCTAACCAGCATGGGGCTGGGGGGGGTGGAGGGGTGGGTAAAGCACATGTGTGGACATGCAGAGGCAAAATATTTTCAATACTATAGCTGCTGATACCAAGCTTTGTAACCTTTCTTGGCATACAACACAAAGGCTTTGTTCTGTGGTGCTTGGGGTACCTACGCGGGGTTCTCCATTAATCATTAAAATACCACAGGTGCAAGAAAGGCACAGCACAGGGAAACTGCAACTACTTGTCCAACTTGGAAAGCATTTCCAGTTGAATAATGCATAATAAGTTCCTTGCAGTTACGCAGAGACCTCCAACTCTTTAAATATATGCAGTAGCATTTAATTTGTTTCCAAACTTTTACACTAAAATCAGATCTTTCACAACACACTACATCTGAAGCTGGCTAGCATGTAAGAGAAAAATGATTTACTGATTTCTGCTTTTTTTTTTTTTTAACCATAGTATTTACAATATTTACAAAAAGCAAAACAGAAGTTCACATCTATACATGGAAAAGCTTTACCGGCATTCGTGGTGCTCCTTGATAATAGAACTAAAGGCGTTCTGATGTAAACTTGTCTTCACTCTTTTTTCTCTTTGTCTTCTGTTGCAAAACCAAACTCTCACAACTTCTTTCTCAAGATTGAGTCCCTCAGCCATCCTCATAATTTCCTGAGAAGAAGGCTTACTTTGTTCTCCAAAGTGCCTCTCTAGGGCTTCTTTGGCAGCAATACTGGATAAAGGGATAGAATTTCACCTTTAAAAAACTTTTCTGGCACATTCAGACTTTCACCACTAGTTCAGGACAAAGATCAAGTAAGAGCACTGAAGGTAGTGACTTGGTTTGTTTCCTCTTTTTCTATGTAAAGTCACCCCACAGAGCTTAAAGTACACTGTAGTTCTTTGCTGACATGAACAGCATGGCATCATGCAAAATTTCAGCACAGAATCATTTAAAGGCAAAAGTAGCATCAAATCTGATGCAATTTCAGTGATAATCATGAAATATTTATGCTGCTTGATGTTCTCTAGGAGATACAGCTACTACCTAGACATGAATCACAAGATCCACAGGGATCACAGGAATTGCAACAAGCCTCTGCCCCAGTCACAGCAAATGAACATGAGTGGGGTTACCTGGTTGTATCAAATCATTTGGGTTTACAAGGGGGAAGAGCTCCATCATTTACAATTTGGGAAACGTTGTATCAAGTTCTGCATCTCATTTTGTCATAGAGAGGACACTAGAGGATTTATAGAAATTGCAGAGATTACAGCAAACTGTTTTAGCAATCATCAGATTTTCTAAAAATCTGCCTTAATCTATTCCTCAGAGTCTGCAGTGACCAAAGTTGAGCGGTTCAGTCTTTTCTCATTATCAGATAGAATTTGTTTCCCGTTTGTGTTACATACTCTCAGAAAACATGGAGTATCTGCGACATGTTTGCATGCCCCAGGACGCATCCAGAACTAGCTTCAGCAGTAGCTGTAATTTCTTTGGACACAAGAGGGCACTTCGTGCATTATTCTGGAAATGAGGTGCAGGTAAATTACAGGAATATACAAAGTATCTGCTGGAGTTCTAGTGATTTCATTACTTCATCTGTAATATGTTGTTGGTCTTTCATTTACAGGTCAATTTTGCAATATTTACTAATGTTACCAAAATTATCTAATTAATAGCATGGTGTTGTACACACACAAAAGTATAGAAACATTATTATTTTTGACTGACAGCTTCTTAAGCTTTGATCAAAATATGGAATAAAATAGCTTCCACAAATTCAAATTAAGTAGCTTTTCCTCAGGGTATGACTAAACTAATTTAGTTTGTGGGACTTTTGTTTTACCTCTAGTTTGCCTTCAAACATCCATTAAGCATTGCTAAGAGTAAGGCTGCAGTTCATATAAAGTCCATCTCCCTGATTAGTTTCAGGTCTTCAAACTGAGGTCCTATATTCCTTCAAAAGCAACAATTAATGTTTTCTTACTACAAAGGATTTGGTCCTGAACTTCCCCTCAGTTATCTGTGCCCTTGACAACCTGCCATATTTGATACTCCCAGTTGCAGTGGGATTGGAGGTAAAAGCAGGAATAATTAAAAAGTGCTTAACATGAGGACTGATTTTCTTGATAGCTGTTAAAAACACCACCAAAATGCACCATGTTAGGTGAACAGTCTTCAGTGGGTTCCTCTAGCCAGGGAAAAACACCTAGGACAGAAGTGCTCTCAACTCACAGCTCTCATGCAGACCATACTGCATAAACTGGGCAAGGTCTTGGCGCTGCTGCTCAAGTCCTTACTGGCTTGCAGAGAAGCTGAGAGAAGAAAACGGCCTCCCAGGAGCAAATCTTCATCCTTTGTGAGGTGTGGTGATGAGCAAATGAGCTATAAAGCATCCCCCATTCTAAATTCACTCCAAATTCAGAAGCATCTCCTCAGAGGAATATTTATTTCAAAAGTGAGAGAGAAATCACAACTTAAATTTATTCTTTATATCAAAGGCAATATGACTAATGAGATGCATCCCAGAGTTCTGAGGGAATTGGCTGATGTAGTTACCAAGCCACTCTCCATGATATTTGAAAAGTCATGGCAGTCAGGTGAAGACTCTGGAGACTGGAAAAAGGGAAACATTGCACCCATTTTTAAAAAGGGTAGCAAGGAGGACTCTGTGTACTACTGACCCATCAGCCTCACCTCTGTGCTTCGGAAGATCATGGAACAGATCCTCCTACAATCTATGCTAAGGCACATAGAGGGCAGGGATGTCATTTGAGACAGCCAGCATGGCTTCACCAAGGGCAAGTCCTGCCTGATCAACCTAGTGGCCTTCTATGATGGAGTGACCACATCCGTGGACAAGGGAACAGCTATGAATGTCATCTGTCTGGATTTCTGTAAGGCCATTGACAGAGTCCCACACTACATCTTTCTCTCCAATTTGGAGAGATATGGATTTGATGGATGGACTGTTAGCTGGATGAGGAATTGGTTAGATGGTTGCATCCAGAGGGTAGTCGTCAATGGCTCAATGTCCAGATAGAGATCAGTAACAAGTGGTGTCCCTCAGTATTGGGACCAGTACTCCTTAATATCTTTATCAGTGACACAGACAGTGGGATCGAGTGCACCCTCAGCAAGTTTGCAGATGACACCAACCTGAGTGGTGTGGTTGACACACCTGAGGTATGGGATGCCATCCAGAGGGACCTGGACAAGCTTGAGAAGTGAGCCTGTGTGAACCTCATGAGGTTCAACAAGGCCAAGTGTAGGGTCCTGCACCTGGGTTGGGGCAACCCCCAGTATCAATACAGGCTGGGGGATGAAGGGATTAAGAGCAGCCCTGACAAGAAGGACTTGGCACGGTGGTACTGGGGCATGAAAAGCTGGACATGAGCCAGCAACGCGCACTTGCAGCCCAGAAGGCCGACTGTATCCTGGGCTGCATCCAAAGCAGCGTGGCCAGCAGGTTGAGGGAGGAGATTCTACTCCTCTACTGCACTCTGGTGAGACCCTACCTGGAGTCCTGCATCCAGCTCTGGAGCCCTCAGCACAGGAAAGACATGGACCTGTTGGAGTGAGTCCAGAGAAGGGCCACAAAAATGATCAGAGGTGTAGAACACCTCTCCTATGAAGAAACGAGAGATTTGACACACTTCACTCTAACAGGTAGGGCCCGACAGTCCCAGAGGTGTGCCCAATTCCCTTCCTGTAAAAGAATACTACAGATCCTTGGAGGCTCCCTGAATGAATTCTTCTTCACCAAAAGTGGTAAGAGTCTCCGATATCTAAAGGAGAAGGAAATACCCCATGTTCTCATTTTGCCTATTTCATAATTGTTTTTGTAATATGATTTACCAGCCTACTTGATTTCAGTATAGAGCTGAGGCTAGATAGATTGTAGATGTTGCCCACCAGACATGTGAGAAACTGAAGGAGGTTCCCAGAACAACTCTTTTTTTTTTTACCTTTGGCTCATTAAGGTGTTTCTTCGGGAACTCCAAAGAATCCAGTGACAGAGGATAGGGAAAGGGATGCAATATTATGTGTAAAAGCTTGCCCTCAATCTTCCCAGACCTCAATTCCCTGGCAAAATAATGCAATTTATTTTGGTATAATGTAGGACCTCCCAAAATTAAAACAAGAGGGCTCTGATACATATTATACACTATATAGATATCATAAAGTTTGGGCAGAATTGGAATAAAATATTTATTCTTATTAAAGTGTGTTGTCGTATGTTGAAAACAAGTCTTTAATTGGGAAAATTAGTGTATTTGGAGCAAATTGGGGGTTTGGAGGGTTATGCTGTTATTTTTCACTGGAATGTTTCAAAGTAGTGAAACTTTTTGAAACAGTAGCTATAGAGATTCATTCCCGGAAAATAACACTTTGATTTTGAACCCAAGAAAAAGAAGCATCTTAGCCAAAGTGGTTTCTAACACATAACACCCCACATATTTCTTACCTTATGGTGGTTCTGCGTTTTCTCTTCCGCTCATTCACCCCAACTTTTTCGTTGTATAAAGCTGTATTAAAAACAAAACTTGACAGTTACCTTCCACAGGGAATGGAAAACAGACGCAATCACCTCCAGGAAAAAAAAAAAAATCCCTTTCTCTGAAGAAAGCATAACAGATAAAGCTGCTGAAGAAGAGCAGCAGCACACAAATAGGAGCACTTTTTTTTTCCTTTAAGATGGCTGGTCATTGTTTTACCTCCAGCTATAAACGGTTATAAGCAAAAACGGTGTGCCACTGGTAAAGCTGCAAGCGGCCCTGGCTCTGTGCCTAGGTACCCGCCGAGCTGTGCTTCAGCCCCCTCCTTTGACACGCCTTCTCCCGCCTGCCCTGCGGGGTACAGTCTCGGGAGACGGAGTCCATTTCCATACTCCTCAGCTACCTCACCCTCTCGGCCTTGGCCCCACGCATTCATCGGTCTCTTCCACCTCACCTTCTGACGGACAAGTCCCCCCGGGCTCCCCCGAGGCCGCCGCCCGCAGGCATGGCCTTACGCTGCAGCTCAGGCCTGCGGGGCTGCTCCGGCAGCC